GAGGCATGTCTTGCCGCAGGGCTGGGCGTAGAGGCTGTCAGCCCCCACCAGGTGGGGGTGAGCCGTGGTGGCGCCTGTTCCTGGCCACCTCCACCCAGCGTGCTGGCCTCTCAGACTCCCTGGTGGCTGCTGGCCCCTGAGCTCTGGTGGCTGAGCCGGGGGTGGGGGGACACTGCCTTCCCTCAGCCATGACACATGTCCTGATGACAGCGCATTCCCCAAACGACTCAGTGTGGGCGCCAAACGCGTCGGGAGCACGTGGCCCTCCCGGGCCTCGTGGGGGACAGTGGGAGGAAGGAGACGGCGGTGTGGAGGGGCTCTGCTGGCTGACGGCACCAGATGACCCCCGTCTCCCGGACCCTGACTCCACCAGAGAGCAGGGCTGGGCACCTGTGGGGAGGGGAGGCTCATGGTGAACAGCACAGGTGTCCCTGTCTGGACGCTGCTGGGTGTCCCTGCTGTCGTGTGCCCTGGTGGCTGAGGTGGGTCCTGAGACCAGCGAGCGTCGGTGGGGACCTGGGACTCATCGGTGTCACCGTCTTGGCCGTGAGGAATCTGAGGCACGGGGCCACCGGCTCCAGCCCCAGGCCCTCCGAGGGGCCTCCCTGGGCCCAGACACGTGTATGTGCACTGGAGTCACAGACCTTGAAACATTCCTTGTGGCTATAAGTCTCCCTGAAAAATGGTTCTTCTTCTATAGGGGAATGGGTGTGTGGTCCAGCCCAGGAGCGTTAGGGATCACGGTGCTTTGATCTTAAGAGGCTCTTTTTCTTGGGCTCCCCTAGCAGCTTCCCACAGTGAGACTGGGGGTGGAAGTGGGGGCCCCCCTTCCGGCACCACGTAGGCAAAGGGCCAGGGTGAAGGGACCCCAGAGAGGTGCTGGCGGAAGGGCAGGGGGTGGTGTTTGGAAGGAGGGAGGCAGGTGGGGTGCAGCAACAAGGAGGTCTCAAGAAGGACCCCAACCCTCGCCTGTGAGACCTGGGGGCCTCCCCTTCTGTGGGGGGCTGTTGGGGTTTGGGGTCCTGGGGGTACAGAGAGGAAGAGGGTGGGGGGTTGTGCCCTTCTGCACCCCACAGCTGGCCTGTCTGACCTCAGGAGGCCCCACATTCGCCCCAAGCCAGTCCAGAGCTGAGAGGCAAGTGACGGCCTGTAGCACCTGGGGCGGCCCTCATGCAGGCCCTGTGGCCCGGCTGGAACCGGGCACCGACTGCTCCAACGTGTCATCCCTGGTGTGCGCACCAGGGCCCAGGAGGCGCTCTGGATTTGCCTCTCGAGTCTCCGCTCCTGCCCCCACGAGCCTCGGGGCTGCCCGAGTCTACCGCCGAGCCCTCCGCGGATGCCGACCCGGTGCCCCCACCGGGCTGACCACGCGTCCCTGGCCGGGCAGGACCACTCGGGGTGCCCTGCAGCCGCTGGCGTTCCTCTCACCTGTCTCACAGGTGGGCCCCCCGAAGCCGGCTGGGCATCGGCAGCTGAAGCTGTTGATGCCGTGTGTGCAGGTCCCGCCGTTCTGACATGGATGGGAAGCACATTCGTTAACATCTGAAAAACAGGGCCGGCTGGGGCCTCAGTGGACGAAGCCAGGTTGGGGAGACTCTGCCCGGATGCCCTCCCGGCCTCGCTTCAGGGGGGGTCGGCTCAGACGGGGCAGCCGTAGCCCCGCCTGCCATGCTCTCTGTCAGGGAGCCTCTGTGTGGTCCCCCTCCATCGCCCACACTGTGGGGACAGACACCCTGACCTTGGGCTCTTGGGGCCCCTGGCTGTGCTGCAGTGCAAACTCACCCAGGTGACACCGCCTCCCAGTGAAGCCCGAGAGGCAGGAGCAGCTGTAGGAGGGATTGCCCGTGATGCAGTCGTCAATGCACTTGCCGCCGTTGAGGCAGGGACGCAGGGCCAGGCACACGGAGGCTGTGGACACAGGAGGGAGCCGAGCCGTCCCTTCCCTCCCCTGACCCAAAGGGCCCGTCTCTGAAGGATCACCGGTGGTCTGCTGGCCACCCAGCATCCACGATTCACTTCCCAGGTCTCCCAGGGTGCCCAGTGCACCCGCCGTCTGTCCTGCTGACATTTAAATTCCTACTCTGTGACTCTGGCTTTCCCTGGAGGCCAGGCTTTCCCAGAATCCTTTAAGCCCACAGCACTTCCTATCTCTTTAATGCATCAACTTGTCTGAGGAACTGACAAGGTTCAAGACCCAAGGGTGCCTAGCGACACAGGAAGGTGTGCGGGCATGAGTGAGCCTGATGAGAAGGACGTCTGCGGGTGTGGATGAGGGGGACCCACCCCTGTGGGAGCCAGAGGTGGTGGGCGGGGGTCCCTCGGGCCTTTCTGAGGGGATGCAGTCTGCTCCCAGGGCCGCCCCGATAGTTAACGGAAACGCACGCCCAGCTGCCCTCCGGGTCTCCCCGCGTGAAACAGGAGGGCCACACTCAGGGCTGTTGAAGTCAGGGTTTCGCACATCATGGCCTCCTGGCCAGGGGGTCTCCAGCGGTCCCCGAGGGCCACCCGACCCCATGCCTGGGCCTCGCAGGACGCGCAGCCCACAGAGCTCAGCTCGGGGGGCCGTACCCCTCTGGAGAAGTAGGGCCACTGAAATCTGCGATGAAGAAGCGCGGCTTGGCATGTAACTAGAGCACCCCCAGGTCTCGGATCTCCTGTTACTAGGAGGGCCCCGGGAGATCTGGCGTGGTATGAAGGAGAGCAAGCGGGGGACACTCCCGGAAGGACCTCGTGGCCCAGAACACCGTCAGAGCTAAGGGTATCTTTCGGACGGCCCCCCCCCCTCACCGTACCCCTCCCCCGTTCACTCGGTCACACTGTCACTCTGCCGGCCGTTGTGTGGTGGCTGTGTCCACCAGCCGTTTCTGGACCGGCCTTCCTCAGGAGTGAGCCTTCCGACGGTGGAGGCGCTGCCTCTCGCGTGTGAACTGACCCTCCCGTCCCGGCACGGCCCGTGTGTAGGCAACCCGGACTGACACGCACGATCTCCCTCTCCTGGGCCCACAGCGTGGCCGCGGGGAAGCAAGAGGGCTCCTGTGGGCCTCTGTGCACACTAGTTTGGAAGGCCCAGCCCTGCCTCCTCCGTCTACTCCCCCAGGAGCCTGGGATCGTGGAGAGAAGCACATCACCGTGGGAAAAGGATCCCCGAGGGACTGGCGAGACCCTCTTCTGAAGATCATTTCTCAGGGTCACAGCCTGCAGCCTTGGTGGGGAGCATGGGCCTGGCCACAGCTAGACACACGCCTGCTCTCACACCTGCTCCCACACTCGCGTCCACGCCGCACCGCTCACGGCAGCCCACACCTGCACCCGTACTTTGATCCCTAACCACAGCCTAAGCCCCTGGCTACTGGTGGGTGACAAGCAACAGACCTCCCTGCCATCAGAGACACAGCGGTGTCCCCACCCCCGAAACACCACCGCCCAGAGCCCCGATGGGCAGAGTAGGCCGCGGGCTTGGCCTGGCCCGCCCTGGGGCTGCAGGAGGGCTTGCGTTCTTGGGTGCCCCGCTTGCCACTTTGGGGAAGGGGCAAAATTATTGGCTCCTGGGCTCCCTGGCCTGTGGGTTCCCCATCCTCTGAGCTCAGGCTCTGGCTGGGGCCTATTTGGTGCTCCAGTGAGTGGGTGGGCTCGGCTTCCCCAGGCATCTCTCACCGGGGCACCATCCTCAGGCCTTGGTGAGTCTTCCTGCCCGCCGGGGCGCACACCTGCCCTCCCCGGCTCCTGCCCCCGTCCCTGCAAAGTGCGCGCCTGTTGCCCTGGAAGGTCTGGGTGGGATCCACCCGCGCTGGGTTCGCTCGCCGAGCTACGGGGTTGGGAGAAGTGGGAAGAGGGTCCTCTCTGTGGCCTCGGTCTCCTTGTGGGTGGGAGGTGAGTCCGCGAAGGCGGTCCCCACGTGGGCGTCATTGTGGCCTCAGCCTTTGCAGGCCTGTGGTTAGTCCTCCCCTCAGAGTGGCCACATCAATCATTTACACACCCTCTCCATTTCTAAGCACGTTCCAGGAAAGTCTGCACCTCGGCCAACGCCACACAGGGGAAGGGGCTGGGACAAATCCTTCCTCGGCCAGTCCCGACTGTCTGCCCTAAGATGGACCCTACCCGCCACCCCGCCCCGTCTGATGCGTGGTCATTGCCTGAAGGCCCCCTGGGTGTCGGGGAGATCCGTCTGGTCAGGCAAATGTGGGGGGTGTGAAACAGGCAGCAAATCCCACCAAGCATCAGGTCCTTGGCAAACATGGGGAGAAGAGTGAAAAGGGTGCCTGCCTTCCAGGCGATCCTGGGGACAGGTGCCCCTCCCCAGCCCAGGACACAGGCTGGGGGAGAATGAGGGGAGAGTGCCAGCTCCTGGACCCAGGACGGGTGACCCTAGCTCCTCCGTGGTCTCCAGCATATTCCCCCACGTGGTGCCCAAAGCAGGGATAGGAAAGCCTCCCCAGGAAAAGATGGGGCTCAAGGGGCGAGCCGGTACCAGCCCAGGTTCCTGGCTGGGGGGGGG